CAACTGTCTTCTGTGGACTGTGAAAGTTTCAAGTGTCCGCTGGATCAAGATTGGAAGTTGGTATTTTTTAAATAAAAGAGTTGTTTTGGGCCAAAACGCCAATTTTTAGGCTTAACTTATTAAGTCGGGAAAAATCAGGGATTAAGACAATTTGAGCGAAATTTTCAGTATTTAGAGCTTCAACCGTATTGTATGGACTGCTGACGTTTCAAGTGCCCACTTGCTCTAAATTGGAAGCTGGAAGTTTTTGAATCAAAGAGTGCGTTTAGAACACCCATTTTTATGCCCACTTTACCAAGTCGGTAAAAATGAGGGGTTAAGGTGATTTCGGCGAAATTTTCAGTATTTTGAACTGCAATTGTCTTTTAAGGACTGTGGAAGTTTCAAGTGTCCGCTTGCTCCAGATTGGCAGTTGGCATTTTTTTAATCAAATTGTTCTTTTGGGTGAAAACGCCCATTTTTATGTCCACTTTTTCAAGTCGGCAAAATTCATGGATTAAGGCGATTTGGCGAAATTTTCAGCATTTTGAGCATCACCTGTTGTTTATAGATGGTGACGGTTTTTGCTGTGTGCTTGATCTAGATTGGATTGGATTTTTTCAATCAAAGGGTGCTTTAGGGCAAAAACGACCATTTTCACGCCAAATTTTCCATGCCGCGGAAAATCAGAAATTAAGGCGATTTGGGAGATGTTTTTGGTATTTTGAGTTTCAGTTGTCGTGTACGGACCGAAAAAGTTTCGAGTGTCTGCTTGCGCTAGATTGGCAGTTGGGATTATTTGAAACAAAAAGTGCTTTTGGGCGAAATCACCCATTTTTATGCCAACTTTTCCACGTCGCAAAAAATTAGGGATTAATGCGATTTGGGTATATTTTCCGCATTCAGAGGTTGAACTGTTGGTTATGGTCTGAAAAAGATCCAAGTGTCTTCTTGCTGTCCATTGGAAGTTGGGATTATTAGAAGCAAAGGGTGGTTTTTGCAATTTTTTTTTGCAAGGCTATTTGAAATTTTTTTTGTATTTTGGGTGTTAGACGGTTCGAAGACGGGACTGTTTGAAGCAAAAAGGTGAAGTAATAGCGACATTTTGCGACTTCCGGTTATACTCAAACTTACTTATTTTAAATGAAAAACGCTTTGTAATGTTTTTTTGCGTCCCTTTTCATTTCCCATACGTTTTTTTCAACTACAAATCACAACAAGCAAATCTATCCAAAGTGAGAGTGGTGGTTTAGGTTTTTAACTGTGCTCCTCAAAACCCTAAATGTATAACAATGTCGAACATATATGAGCTTTACCTTCCTTGCGGAGACATTAAATATGTCCATTATATTTTTCCTTTCTAGTCTCTTCTGTATTCCCTGCACACTTTTGTTCAGTTCAAAGTCAGTCACAAAAGTTCTAGAGCCAGTTCAAATTTTTTTAATCATCCATGTAAACAGAGCAGTTTCTTTCGATCTTACAAGCCTTCTTATGTCTTAATAAGACTCTTGCGTTCTCTAATAAATTAAGGCAAAATCACTGTGTCTGTTTGCTGACAGTTTCGGAGCATTTCAAATCTGCTTGTCCAAAAGAATTAAAATTCCAGCTCTTACCTGCACAACTTGATATTAATTCAATATTCTCCGCTTTGACTGTTTTCCCTGTTTTTCCGCTTTGAACCTACCGGGGGAGTAAATTTTCAATTTCCATTGATTGACTTTCAAACTATTCTCTGATCGCTTGAACGCAAAATATGCGCCCAATAGCCATGCCCTATTTAATATCGGCGTTACCTTTAATCTCTTGGGAAAATTAAGAAATTAACTACTTCTGGATTCGTTGTAAGCTCGTCTAGAAAGTAGTGGAAGTTTGCTGATTAGTTTCAAATTGCCTATTTCTATTTTAATCTCTTAGCGTAAAAGCGGAATAATATAGTGGGTTTTTGACTCAAAAGCAGTTTGGTTTAACTGCGATTAAGGGGGGTGATTCATATTTAAGCAGCCATCCAATTTTAACTTTTCATACTAATGTTGTTGGACGTCGATTACCAGTAGGCAATAGTTTGAACATCACGGAGTCTAATTAATTACAGTATTACGCTTAATTGCACGGATGATCTGATTAAATCCGCAGCCGGCTTCTAAATTTCAGCTGAGAGGAATGAAAAGATTCGAGCTCATTTGCGAAGCCAATTAATGTTGGAATTAATATCGCCTAATTAGACAATTAATAATTGTTCATTTGAAAAATGCTTTTATATTTAGTAATAGAATTGTTTGATGTTTAAACAAATGCTCATGGTAGCCTCACTAGGTTTAAATAGATTGCGTTCATATAAATAAATAATAAATGAATGAATGATGACATGACAATGAAAGGGGAATATCTTTATACGACAATTTAGCCTAAAGATGCTAATAATGATCGCAACAAAATGCCGATTTTTGCTGGCTTAGTAAATATAGACCTCAAAATGCATGTTTTTTTCAAACTGCGCTCCACTACACAAATTCTCATCTTGCAACCTCAAACAAATAACAACTTCAAATTTTCCTCATCGTTAAGAGACATTTCAGTAGACGGATGCTGAAAGTTCCAGATCAATCGTTCAGAATCTCGATTTTTGCCAGCTGAGGAAATATGTAGATGAAAATGTAAGTTGTTACCAAACTGCACTCCCTCGTTTAAAATTTCGTATTTTCCAAACCGAAGCAAGTAACAACTTGAGATTTTCATCATCGTAAGACGACGCGTGAAGGGAAATACGCGAAAATGTTCATATCAATCGTATAAAATCTTCATTTTAGCCGGTTTGGCGAATATAAAGATGAGAAAGTGGCTACCAAATTGCGCTCCATCTTTTAAAAATTCGTATCTTCTAACTGGAACAAAGCTGCAATATGAAATTTTCTTCGTCTTTAAAACACACTCGAGCTTACATTCTCTAAAAGTTTTTTTTCAATCGCCTAGAATCCTGTTTTTGTAGCAGCTTCGTAAATGCGGGTATCAAAATTGGAAAATGTCAGTTCCCTAATGGATGCCTTGATTCAACTGCGCTCTCTCACATGTTCGAAACAAAGAAACTTTTGTGTTTGCGAACAAACCACCCAAATTCAGTTGTCTGAAATGCTTCAGTTTTGTTGCAGTTTCTTGTAGTAAAATTAGTGTGGTGCCCGAACTATCGAAAAGGGCTCGGCGCAACAATACAAACAATACATTTGGTTCTAATGTATGTCAAAGTTGTGCCGAGCCTTTTGGGCACAACACTGGTACGGGTAAGATTCTTTGTTAAGGAAAATCAGTTTAATGTCCAAAGGGCTCGGAACAACTTTGACATCCCAAGATATCTAATGGATTTGTTGGGCGCACCCTTTGGGAACGACGCGTACAGGAGAGCAGCAAACCTTAGAGAACCTTAGATCCGCAATCGGAAAAATTCTGAATAACCTTTAATGTGATTTTCATTCAACTTTTCTAAAGGGTTTTCAAAAGCAAGCTGAGAATTTACGTCAAAAACAAACGAAACTAATGCGAAAAAATGTCTTAACATTGTGGAACATTAGGCTAGACAAACAATTTCTTTACGGTTTCTATTACACATTAGTTAAAAGTGTTTATTTTTCGCAAAAAAGAACGAACTTTTTATCAAAGACTAAATGAATATAAATGTGTAAAAATCGAGTAAAAATGAGTTTTCGTTTTTTACAAATTGTCAATTTGTTTGGGTATCTTAAAATTTCATTGTATAAAAAAAGAAAATTAAATTTATTTAATTCATTCTACTTTCTTATTTTAGTTTAACCTTTCTTCAATTTTACATTGTTATTTTAACTATTAATTCATACTTTATATCAATCTGTAATCGAAGACGTGATGAAATAAAATTGTTTTAACAGTTTTAAACCCATACCTTAGATTAAAACACTGTTAAAGACTGAACCGGAACCGAAATAACTTATTACTATTTTTACGGTTTCTTTTCGTACAACTTGTAACGTTTCAAATAAATTGATATTTGGGTTTCAGAGAATCTCTAGGAAATTTACCGCTCGATAACAAAAAATTAAAGCGAATTTTAAATTTAAAGATGGTTAAGAAAATGTTTAAATATATAATTGGATAAGTAAATACAATAATTTATATTGTTTAAAACTTTCAACTTCTTGTATTTTTATATAATTTATTTTTGTGTAAATTTACTAGTTCTTCCTTTAAGAGTTATCTTGAGCAAAATGGAGGAAAGAGAAGTTACACTGGTAGATGACGAAATGATCCTTACTGGGATATTTTTAGACTCTCGTTATCTGGTAGTTTTCGACGACAAACAAGTAAAAGAGCAAACGCGATTTTAAAGTCGTTATCGACTAGGCTAATGTTCTTAAAAAAGTGGAATTTTTCAAATTCTGAATCTAAACCTGACCAACCCGACACGGAAACGAAATCATCTAGTTCTTCATTAAGTGATTAAATTGAATAATTTTTCAGGCACACAGATTCACAGCAAAAAGTTTTAAAGGAATTTCACACGTTGCTCATTTATAATTTAAACAAAATTAAAATTATTCTAACTTCTTTTAAAGTGGATCCAAAAACAAGAAAAAGCTTAATCCCGAGATATACATGCTTGCAACTAAATTTTTGTTTCCGCCTACGAGCTCAAATGTAAAAAAACGTTAGAGGAAGAATAGTATTTGTGAGGACTAACCGACTTTTCAATCGTAAGGAGAAAACACTTTAAACGGAAATAAGACTGAAATAATAGGAATTAATACTGATAGAATTTGGAACCGAAATTAACCTAAAAAAACTGGAACCGGAACTGAACCGAATTGGAAAATATTTTCTAATCCGGAACGGAACAGTTTTCTCGAATCGGTCAGGGTCCTTGCTTTTTAAAAGACAAAAAGGCTTTTGTGGTTGCTGTTTAGTGGAGCAACAGTAACGATAATCATTCAAGAAAAATTTCGCATATATTGAAAATAGCGTCTTAGCTAAACTCAAGGGAAACTCGTCTCTTCCAGGAAAATCCACGGGAATAGTGACCAACACCAGAATAACTCACGCAACTCCTGCAGCCCTTTATGGACATGCTCCATCCAGATACTGGGAAGACGACTCGAAGGTGCCGCCTGCTTCCAGGAAGTCCTGCAAAGACCTCGCCAGGCAGCTTATTGAAAATGATCCAGGCAGGAACATAAACGTAAGTTTCCCTTCTGCTTGACACGTTATTAAACTGGAAAATTCCGCTCATTTATAACTTGCGACAGGCTCGCTTTGTTGCATTTGCTTGGCATGAAAATATTGTCGGCCGGGTTTCGAACTAGGCGGCGCCGGTAAGTTCAGCTGCGATTCTAAGAAATGAAACTTTTCGAGTTATTGACCCGATATACCAATTTTGTTCTATTTTATAGCTCAAACTAGCGTGGAGCGGAATTAAAATATTTAGGGTTTGGCTTAGCTTTAATTCGAGAATATTCTGAATGTATATTGATGGGTTCTTTCTTGTCCTAATAAACGTATACGAAGCAAAACAGAACTTTACATTGAAGCTTTACTTTATGTCTCAATAATCATGCAGGAAAATCTCATAAGACGTTTCGCTCACAACATCGGCAAATTTTATCAAGGGCAATCCGGCAAGATGTAAATATACCTGTTTTCGTTTTTCTCTTCATTATCCACAGACACAACCTTATCGTCAAAAATTTTAATAAAACACTTTAGCTCGGTTACTTTCTTTACATAGAATGGACTTATCTAGAAAGAAAAAAACCAAATCTAAAATTCTGTATTCGTCGGACTATCTGCGTTCGAGTTAGCGAAGTTAATATATCAGAATTGCCTAACAAAGACATGCAGACTTTAGGGACCTTTTTGTTCCATATCTCACTTTATAACGGCAAAGTAAAGAAGTCTCCGTGAAAATGGACCCAAGAGATAAAAATAGAACTGAATTTTCCCACCGGGAGAGATTTAGAAAATTAAATTTTTATACGGTTTTTGTTTCTGTCAAGATTTCTGTGCGAAGGAAATTTGTTATCAGGTGGACTCAATACGAAAGGCAAAGAGTTTTGTGGTTCTTTTTTGACAATTTTAGCTCAAAAAGTCGGTTTAGATAGATGGAGATCGAATGGCCATATAAATTCAACCAATAATGGTCAATTAAAGTCAGACAGACAGTGAACATATATTTAGCGCCTTGGTAAAGTCCAAGGCTCAGTTTCCAGACGAGTTGCTCTGAATTGTTTCCTCCGGCTTCCTTAATGTATATTTTATGATCGTTCACACTCCTAGGAAATATTTCCTGCAAGAAAATGGCGAAATTATTCACAACAAGAGAAGTAACGGAACATTTATGAATGATTTGTACGATCATTACCGTCATGACTTTTAATATTCGGCAAACTGCAAATGGGGCGTGCAACTGCAAATTGAACTTTTACGTTTAATACTCTTCAGTTCAAACAAATAGCCCCTTGGAAGTGGCATTTTAATTTATCGGCAGACGGAATGAATGGTTGGGTTTCAATAAAAAAAAAATTTTAATTGGCTGAAACTCTCTAAAGTGGATTAAAATCTGAGTTTCTCAGTCAAATGTATTGTTATGTGTGTATGCATGAGTATGATTCTGAAGGGACTTTCTCAACTCATTAAAAGTTTTCAATGGCGGAAGGTAAAGAAATTAATCAAAGAACAAAAAGCCTCTACGAAAAGAAATCATGAGCATTTCAGTTAACCGAAGCAAGAAACATTTACAAGGAAAAACATGAAGTTATTCCTAAGACTCACTAGATATGAAAAATACAACTGATAGAAACACTTGATTTTTTAACTTCTAGAAAATGCAATTATAAAATATTGAAAAAAAGCCAACACGATTGCGAAAATTTCTCTAAAACGGAAAGAAAGTTAAGCGAATAAGCAATCACAAATACACTCTGGAAAAACGAAAATCTTCCTTCAAGGAAATGAAGCAGAATCACGCGAAAAAGTAATAAGAACACTGCGGAAAGACGAAATGATGCAATAAAAATCTAAACAAAATTGCATGCTAATAGCAATAAAAAGTGAAAATCGTTGTAATGCTGGGAAATATTTTGTGCATGAAAATGACAAAATTATTTACCATATGAGAAGAAACTGAAAATGCATGAATGGTTTGTATTATATCAACAATGTGGTCCTTGGGAGTGACATTTTACTTTCTTAACAAAAAATTATTCAGAGAAAAGAAAACATATTTAAATAAATCAAAATATAATCGCACTATATACACAATGGTGATCGGGCAACTTACACTTTTATTTTTTCGATTCCGAAATCATTCCATTCAAAATCCTTCTGCCCAGTACCGGGCTACGTCTATGGCACATATCATCGATGGAGCACGTTGCAGGACATAATGTATATCCCAGCAAATGGCCCATGTTTTGTACCTACCCACATTCACAGAGGCACTGTTGGTCTTCCTCAGTTTTCCACTTTAGTTTGTTTGTTTTTACGGGTGCCACGCCGGTTAGTATTCTGTTTAGCGTTCTCCATGTCTTCCAGTCCAAATTTAACCCTGCACAGGGGCTTTGGTTGATAGGGAAGTTGTCGGGTGGTTCCACGGTAGCACACCAAAGAACATTTTTCCTTGATTTCAGCTTTTTCCGTTGTTGTTCTTCGCTATAATGACCATTTTACGTGCTCTATATCCATTCTTCTTTCGCTTGGTTCTGCGAAGCCCGCTGCTTTGTACAATTGATTGATGGGTGTTGGATTCATGCACCCAGTAATAATCCAACAGGTTTAGTTTAAGGCGATATCGACCTGTTTTGCATGGCTTGATCTGCACCCGACTGGGCACGCATATGTTGCAGTTGAAAAACAGAGAGTTTGCGCTGATACTGTCAAGCCTTGAGGTTTTGAACCCCATTTGCTTCCGGCCACCTTTTGTACAAGGCTATTTGTAGCAACTACTTTGTCTGGTTTTGTGGCTGTCCTGTTTGTAGGTTAGTGTTCTATTCAAGATTACACCCAGATACTTTGGTGTTTCAGCGTATTCGAGTTCTTTGCCCTCCTAGGACACGTTTAGTTTGTTCTTAGCCTTGTGGGTATTTACATGGAACACACTTACTTGAGTTTTTCAAGGGTTCTGTTTTAGCGAGTTTTTTCGATAGTATTTGGCCATAGCTTCCATTGCATACTCCAGCCTTACCTCTATCTCCCCGAATGTTTGACCTTGAACTGTGACAACTAGGTCGTCAGCGTACACGTAGTGTTTTGCGTTTTCTATTATGGGCTGGCCATTGGTGTATATATTAAATAGAGTGGGGGCCAGAGCACTTCCTTGTGGGAGACCGTTTTATTGGGTTCTACAGCCGCTTTTTTTATTTTGAAGTTCCACATAGAACCTTCTGTTTTGGAGTATTGATTGAACTGCTTTTGTTGGTTTGTAGTCTTTTGTGGTTTTGTAGACTTTGGTAAGCAGGGTTTTATGGTTTATTGTATTGTAAGCGGCTGTGATAACGATGAACACAGCTCCTGTTATTTTGTTATTTTGGAATCCCTCCTCTATGTGAGATTCTGTGAGATTTAGTACCTGATCAGTGTATGATTTTCAAGGTCTGAAGCCTGCCTGTTGGTGTATTAACAGAGGGTCTATGTGTTTCCGAATTCTCTGGAGGATTAGGTTCTCTTTGCTTGTTTTTTGTTGTGTTTACTAATTTAGTAGTAGCTGTTGGGCTACTTGATTTGGTGTAACATTGGTTCTTTGTTTCGGTGCTAAGGGGTCGCTGCTTAGCTTTTTGATTGTGTTACAGGCGATCATACTACTATATGTCATCTCCTTTTCTCCAGAGTTCCCAGTCACTTTATTTGCCTTGCTTTGCTCAGTTCGGTTAACAGTGCTGAGCCACATTCGATGGTATCGTTCCATTAGGCTTTTAATGTCGTTTGCTACTCCGGGTATGTACTGCTGTCTACAACCTCTAGGGATGTGTTTTTTAGATATGCGCTTGACCAAGTCCACAAAAACATCGTAGTTGTTTGGAGTAGGCTCGATTATATGAATTTAAAGTCAAAACGTCTTCTAGATGGGATTCTTGGTGTTTTAATAGCGTTATCAATGTTTATACCAATGGGGCGATGTTGAGTCTTTGGTACAGCATTGTAGACAACTTTTGAACACTGTTGCTCAATGTTGCCAGAGGCGAAACTAAGGTCCGGGTTGTAGCCTCGTTTCCATATCTTGCTATTAAAGGAGCAAGGTAGTTTGGGGTCATGAATCAGTGATAAGCCGTTTGACTCAGCCCATTGTTCCACAAGATCTCCATTTGAATCATTGGGGTCATATCTCCACGCACTATGATGACTCCACGCACTATGAAAGTTGTTTGGGAAAATCTGTATTGTTTTCCTAGTGGTTTGTACACAGAAGTTACTGTAAGCTTTACAATTTCCACCGTGAGAGTTTCAATATCGTCCTGGATATTTATTGCTACCGATGAAATAGCAAGGGACGGCTTAGTGAAAATTGCACTTCCGTATTTATTATGGGGAGTTTCAATGCTTAGGTTCATTCCAATAACGTCCGGGCTGCCCGAATTTTCATATCTGTGTGTTTCCTGAATACACAGTATGTCGCAATTTGTTGTCTGACATAATTGGGACAGTATGTCCTGTTTGTTTTTGGTGATTCCCTCGATATTAATGCTGATTATAGTCAAAGTTGGCTCTAAGAAGAGCCCTTTGTAGTTTTGCATTGTCTTTGCCGTGGTAATGACTGTGGTGATGATTTGGTAGTGGAAGGATTGCCGTCTCTTGTGAAGACGTTTCCCGGGAGCGCCACAATGCGTCTACAGCGTGAAGGCTCCTTCCTCGCTCCCCGTGGACGGGCAAAAACGCCCATTTTGGACCAACATTAACCAGGTCGGCAAAACTCTGAATTTTGAGCTGCTCGAACTTTCTATAGGCAAGTCCGGTCGGTACGACGGGAAAGTTTAACGTTATAAGGTCGTATAATTTAGCAATTATAACATTTGAAAGAAAAAGGTGCGTTTGTTTCAAAATCTTCCATTTTTTATTATTTAGCTAGTCGGAAAAAATTATGATTTAATGGTATTTTAATGCAATTCTCCAGTTATCCAGACTCGAACATCTTTTTTACAAACTTCTTTTTGGGTATTTCGCCTCAAAAATTTTTGTTTTCAGACAGAA